ATCCATCCATCCATCCATCAATCAATCCATCAATCCATCAATCCATCAATCCATCCATCCATCCATCCATCCATCCATCCATCCATCCATCCATCCATCCATCCATCCATCCATCCATCCGTCCGTCCATCCATCCATCCATCCATCCATCCATCCATCCATCCATCCATCCATCCATCCATCCATCCATCCATCCATCCATCCATCCGTCAATCAATCCATCAATCCATCAATCCATCCATCCATCCATCCATCCATCAGTCGAGTCAAGTAAAGAGGAAGGTAGGATGCTTGAGAGATGTGGCGTGTTTACAAATGTAGGCAAACATAGATGTATAACAACCCGTTAAAATACACTGAAATGCAGGAACTCCCATCTACTTTATTCAAAATTTTCTGAGGGAGGACCCCCGGACCGCCCGCCTCAACCCCCGGCATCAATTGGTTAACAAATTAAGCCCTGTCTGTAAGGAAGCGTATGTGTTGTGGATGACTCTCAGCTACTATCCCATCAGATTTAGCTTGAAATCTGTAAATTTATTCAGGTATAACCATTTATGTGTACGTTAGGTCAGTTAGCTGTGGTAGCAACCTTGAACTGGGTTAAGCAGATGAAGAAGTCAGCCTAGTGATTCATTAATTAAAATAATTTAATTGATTCATGACACAACAGTACAAACAAACAAAGGAGGCAAAAGGGCAATAGGAAGACAGTAGATAGTTTTTACCTGTGCAGATGAAAAACTTGGACTCTCCAACACTTAGCTCCACTTTATTCAAGGATATGGACACCTGCAGGGCAGCTGTGAAAGAAGAGAAAAATTGTGAGAGAAACATATTAGTAAGAGTAGGAGTATTCCTCAAATTAACAAACAACAACAGATATGATTTAGACCTTAATTCTTTATCAGCATGTCTCCATTTTTTATTTTATTCATCGTTTACTGCCACAGGCATACCGTTGTATAAAAAGGAAGATTCTTAGAAAAAATACCCACACTGTTCCAAGTATTTCACACATTGTGTAGTTTGTTTTCATTCAAAGTTCAATTTCTTTCTGAATTCCTCAAAACAACATTTTTTCTGCCATCCGAAGCCTACAGACACAGATTGGTTTTCATTAGACACACGCTTGTTTTGCGACAGGCTTGTCAGTCAAATTGTACAACACAAATGGGATCCTTCCTGCCTGTGGTAACACTGTTCGCAGTCATCACTAACGACAATTGAGCAACAGCATGGTGGAAATTTCAAAAGCTGATAAAGAAAATGAACCAGCTAATGTTTTTTTGTGTATTCTCTCAAGGAAAAAAAAAAAAGTAGTGTGGATCCTCACATCCAAGTTGAAGAAAGTGATTCTGTTGGTGGTAAGCATGGGATTCTGGCAGTATGAGAACCTTGAGCAAAAATACTACAATTTCCATGGTATTAAAACAAACAAACAAACAAAAAATGTATCACATGATTTATTTGCATTCATTTAAAAAATGTAATTTGAATACTTTTGTGTATATCAAATAATATTTTTGTATAGCTAGTGCAGTCTTACGACCGAGTAGTAGGACCATGCTAAAAAAATAAATTACATTACGAGAAAAAGATAATAAATTACGAGAATAAAGTCATAGTATAACGAAAATAAAATCATGGTATTATGAGAATAAAGTCGTAATATTACGAGAATAAACTCATAATACATTCCTGGGTCGGTTCGCACCTGCTGTGGACAGCCTCCAATGTGGGTCACTGTGTTTATCAAGTAGTCCGCAATCACTTTTGGGTCACCGTTTGTGAAATATGCCTCCATCCACATTATGTGACGACTAAATCCGTCAATGCAACCATTAAATGCAATGCCATACGGCTTCAGTATATCATAAGAATTAATTTTCCACAGTGCGCTGGGCCCCCTGCTATTGTATTGCTGATGTAAACATTCATCATTTTACCACAGTTGTAAGACTGCTTTTTTGTGTCGAAATTCTGATAATACTACGACTTTATTCTGATAATATTACAAGTTTATTCTCATAATATTATGACTTTATTCTCGTGTTATTTCAACTTTATTCTCATAATATTATGACTTTTTTCATAATATTTAAGTTTTAAAAGTTTGTTTATGGCGCTGCCCTTTACGTTTAAGGGCAGCACCTCCCACGAGGCCGCAGCCTCAGACACCTCTGTCTCCCCATATCTGTTTGTTTGTGTTTTACTTGGACAGGCCGTACTGAAATGTAATTTTGTTGTGCTTTGGTGCAAGAACCAAGCTGATTCTGATTATTCACATAATATTTCAACATTATTCTCGTACGACTTTATTCTCATTACGTTATGACTTTATGCTTGCAATACTACGACTTTATTCTCATAATTTTATGATTTTTATCTCATTATGTAGTTTTTTTTTCTTAGTGTGGCCCTAATACTCCGTCGTACAATCTTGACACTAAAATGCAAATTAAAAATCTATTAGCAAAGTTTGTGATTGACTGTTTATTACCGCTGTGTTTGTTTACCTACAAAAACAGCCAAAGTGACTGAATCAGGTCAACAATTGCATTGTCCTTGAAAGGCCTGTTAGTAATTTATTTTTATGTACTGCTACACATTTACCCCTGGATTTGTTTAATAAACGACGTAGATAAAAATGCACTTGCACTGAATGTGTACCCAGAATCGCTTATCAATACATCTACCGAAAACATCTGTAAAATAATTTAAACTGCACCATTTGACACAGCTCAGTATAGACATTTTATACATGATATCTAGTTTGCAATAAAAACCTTTAATCATAAGAAATGCAAAAAATAAATTTAATTAAAATGCCTTCTATTGCTGTTTTATACACGATAATTTACAGTTTACAACTCCATCATAATAACCAATATTACTATATATTTTCTGTTGTACTGTTGAGTGCCTGGCAAACCCATTAATAAATCAAACAACCGGCTAGGTTCTTGGTCTCTACACTGTAAAAAATATCTGTATATTTAACAGTAATAAACAGAAAACTACGACAGAGAAAATCTGTAAACTATCAAACAGTTTAAAACCGTTGAGTTGTCGTGAAGTTGCCATAAATAAAGTAATCAGTGAAAACGGTAATTATTTGTACATTTTTCTCTAAAAAAAAATACAAAAGTCTACTGTAAAGCACTGTTTTTTTGGGGTTTTTTTTTTTTTTACAGAAAATTGCCATACAGTTTATACCAGTCCAACAATATGAATTTAAAATTTATTCACTGAAAAAAAAAAAAAACAACAACTGGTTTTATTCTGGTTGTGCTGGTAATGAATATATGTGATTATATGACATGTGGTTTTTCAGTAATTTCACATCATGGATTAGATTTCTAACAAAGTTATGTCAGGTCCTCTGGACGAATGCAGAGGTGTATAAAGTTCACACAAGAATATGTAAAATAATGCAAGTTAGCTTTCTTGGGCTGTGAGGTCTCAGTTTCTGATAGATGACGTTTGCAAACTGATGTGTACCGCAAACCAACCCATATAGATGAGTATTTGCTGTTTGACTACCATCACACCTGGAGCACAAGTTAGGAGTCATCAGGACTCTGTACCACAGAGCAGACGGTGTCCCCACTAACTCAGGAGCCAGGCAGAAGGAGAAATCCCACACAAGACAGGCTCTAGAGCAATGTGGACTGAGCATGCTGTATATATTTCACCTGCTAACATGCTAATGCTCACTGTTTGTTTCAACTGTGTTACCTTTAAAAAAAGACAGGTGTTTCACCTCTAATAGACAACCCATGGCGGATGGGGTTGTCAGTCAGATAAAATGTGCAACCAACCAACTGCTTCTGTTTTAAGGCAAGCATAACCATTTGGGGGAATTTCCTTTGGTTGCCATACACAGCTGAATGATGGCTTGGAGGATCAGGTATAAAGAGACTGAGCATTGCTTGGCACAGTAAATGGTAAAAGGACTGTACTTATATAGCACCTTTCTATCTTATCAAGATACTCAAAGCATTTTACACTACAATCTGTGCCCTCATTTACCCATTCATGCACTCTACTAGATCTCTACAAAGCTAATTGAACAAATCATTTTAAAGAGACTAATCAGTGCTTTATCACATTCATACACTGATGGGACTCACATCTGAGGTAATGAAGGGTTCAGTGTCTTGCCCAGGGACACTTCAGCATGTGACTGCTCGTGGATTCAAACCCCCAACTCTTGCACTGGAGGACGACTGCTCTCACCACTTAGCCACAGCCGCCTACAAGTGGGGTTGGATGGGCAATAAAACAAAAAACAAAAAATACTTTTTGTTCCTTGTACCTTATAAAAAGGTATTTATATTGTAGGAATGGTATACCTTGACTCTGGTAACCAGATCATGCCTAGTTAGCGGACATGTACTTGCTTCAGTGGCGCTATGAAAAATGTGGAGAAAAACATTGCAGTGGAGATGGCATTGGGACAAACTTTGCAAAGTCAAGCTATAATCAAAGGCCATTTGTCTGCACCTATTGTGGCCACTATAATGAGTCACAATAAATGTTCCAATGAAAGCCTTAATGGCAGCTATGTGAAAAGGAGATTTGACCCCAGTCGTATCTCACATGCATTTATAAAAAAAAAGTGGGAATGAACAAGCTGCTCAAGATGCAGGCAGAGAGAAACTGAATTACAGCAGACAATGTGTCCAGATGTCGAATATGATGAATAATTATTGGCAGCTCAGGAGGTAGAAGGTCATTCCTGGGCCTCCTGACGTAGCGGTAGTCACACCATGTTGCTGATTTTCATGAGCCTATCATATCTGCGCTTGTCATCTTTACCCGTTGGAGCTGGTTAGGACCAACATCCAAACCACACACAGACATACAGACTAGCTGAATATTAATAACACTTTGACGGATGGTAATACGCTCTACAACACTGTAAACCAGCTCAAGGCACCTGTCAATATTCAAGGAAATGATGAAATCATTAGCTGCTGTTTCTCGGGGGGAGGATAGCTGCAGTCTGCGGCAGCATCGCACTCAAGCTGCTCTCCAGCAAATCAGTGGCAGCCATCTGTCGTGACCCCAGCCTGCCTATAGATGGCAGGAAAGGGGCACTGCCATACGTCATATAAGATGCAGGAGCTGATCTTGTCAACACATGTGGTAATCTCTGTCCTGTGATTCAGTTATGGTCGGTCAGTAGCACCACTCAGACAGAATATTCAGATAACTAGTAGGCTGGTAATGCACACGTCTGCTTCAAATACAAAATGTATGAAATATATATACAGCGATGGAACACATTTTGTCATATGGATGTAAATGAGCTCCTTTATTAGTGACCAAAAGGTGCAGGCAGGCAATACTGTTATTGTTCATGTATGCTTGTTAGCAAATTATCTGTGAACAACTTGAGAATTTTTTATGAAATTCTCATAAAGGAATCACTGGATGCACATCATAACCAATTAACTTTTGGATTCAGTCCAATTCAAGAGGACTCTCATAGCTAATCAACATTACACAACGCAAAAATAGCTATAGCTTTACCAGGTTTATGAATACTGAGCTTAGATTCAGTAGCCAAGAATCCTTCACAACATGCACTCTGAAAATCACATCTCATGACAATACATGCGTTTATGCATAACTTTATTTTGAAGGTTTGACCAAAGGCTCTGCAACTCTTTCTCTACAGCTACTAAAGCTGCAGGTGATCTTTCAAGAAATGTGTGGCCTTTACATTTCATTGTAACAGATCCAGTCAACTGAAATAATTATTATTATTGCTGTTGTTGTTAAAAAGGACTAT